GGGTAGTCATTTTTCTTCAACACACCATCTCGTCCCTGGCAGTAAATTCAGTTTCCCCGTTCCGCTTGTTGATGATCTGAGCTACGCCGGTGACATGGCCCTCATAATTGCACATAGGCATACACAAGAGACTTTCTGTCCTGTAGCCAGTCACTTGATCAATGCTTTGATCAAACCTTGAGTCCTGTAAAAACAAAACCAGGAAATTTTCTTAGTTCATATTAAATCAATGGATCAATATTTTTTGCACCAGCATCTGAGAATTCTGAAAATGTATGCAGTCAACCCCCGCCTAATGGACCTATCCGGCCGAAAGAATTTTTGCTTAGCAGACTGCCTCTAGCGGCAGTCTTTCCTTCCATTTAACAGACAAGATCCGCTCAACAGACTTCTGTTGGGTCAACAGTCAACACTATATTGGTAGAACATAAACAATTTAATTTTTTATAATTGAATTTGTGCAACAGACTTCACATAATATAATTTTCATTCAACAGACTTGTCTGTTGCATAAATCAAGTCCATTGTGTGGGGGTTGACTTGCAATCGAAATATGGAGTGCCCTACTGCATTTGCAGTCTACAAAAAAATTTCCCCAGTCAAAATCACTACTGTCCTAAATCACTAACCCAACGGATTTTTTCAAATGTTGCCCAATGGCAATTACAGTGGCAATCACAACTCTTTCCACCAATTCCATACTCTGCTTTACACATTTATTTTAATGAATCTCTAATTCATCAAAAACTCATGCTAGATGCAATCCTGTTGATTGGTGCAGTAAGTACCAAATAAATTCTTGATGAAACAATGCTTTTGCATCTGATTCTCTTTGACCAGTCAAAAAATAAATCATCTGTTCAGTTAAAGCAATGCAATAAAAATTATACAAAAAGCATGAATGCTGGTTCTCCATAAATTATTCAATCAATGAATGCCCGACCTTTTTTCATTGAAATACGGTCAAATTATGAAAAATTAATATGCTAAGCTTATTTCTGTGTCAAGCAGTCTACAGTTTAAACTATATCAATACAGTATACATCCTCTCCTACCTAGCAACTTGGGAAGTTAATGAATAAACTGCATCATTCTTCATTGAATTTTGATCTTGATCTGAATCACTTTGTCAAAGAAAAATGTGAAAATGTAACTGCCCAAGTTATTTGACACAGCTTCTGATCTTGATTATATCAGTTTTACCCCAATTTTAAGTTTAATCGCAATCTTTAAGAAAAAAAAAGCCCCATCACATACTCTATAATATCTTTTCGTGTCAAAAATGTTTGAACTGTATCAAGTTAAGCACTCAAAGTTAAGAAACGTTTGGAAAGAGTGAATTTGCTTGTGAATCAAAAAATTAGTATATTTTCTCTGAACATATAAGCTGCGAGAAGCAATTATACTGCCACAAAATTTCCATTCAACGCGTCCATTTCATGGATCCGCATGAAGGGAAAACACAAAACAGGGCTTTGTATATAGTCCTACCTGATAGGCATTCCTCAGGTTCAGGCTTTCCTTCGTTTGCGCGACATGACCTGCAATCCCAACCCCGAATGGAATGACCCTACTGCCCTTTCCCTGAGTCGGCCATAAGACATCCTCCAAATCTGCCGGAAGACAAACATGCATCNCCCTGAGTCGGCCATAAGACATCCTCCAAATCTGCCGGAAGACAAACATGCATCACGTATCTAAACACAGACTATATAGATATCATCAAACGCTTCGCTTTTGCCAGATCAATTGCTCAAATATCCGTAGGGCAAACGCCGAAGGATAGGATCGCTTTCATGTCCTAAATGATTTATTTACGTTTTCTTTTTAAAACACTTCACTCATTGCGCTGAGAACGATGGACCACAATAATTGAAAATTTTTTGATTGAAAAATTATGACCGTTGAGAATAAAAAAAAATGCTGAAAGTCATGAAACTCATGTTATGAAGGCTTAACATAGTCCGTTTGCATCGCGGTATTGTTGTCTGTCAAAATATGGCAAAAATATAAAACAAATAAAACAGAATAACGTTGTAGAGTTGTTTATATGAATCTTTCAAAACTTCGAAAAAGCCCATTTCCTTTTAAAGATCAACTAACGTTTGCCTGGCAGCTTCCCAAAAATGTGATCATCTTATGATTCTCCATGGATTCGTAATTTCTTAGTGATCTTCTCCAGCAGCTAAATTTTCTGAAGTTCAATCTTTCTTACTTATTTAA